ATTGTCATGATATTTCTACAAGTTCTCGAGACAAGCCAACGATGGAATAAATTTTTTTTAAATTAGCGTAATTGGCTTTAAGACCTTCAGCCAGAATTCAAATTTTATTTTTCTACTCTTGTTATTTTTTTTGTAGTCTAGGAGATATATTTTTTTAACAGCTCGGATTTTCTGATAGCATTTCGGAGTTTTTCCGGTCTTTGACCCCTGGCTGTCTTGTGGATATCAACCCAATTCATTGTTTTATGAGGTGAATGCATGTATTTGTAAAGAGGCTTCAAGCGCTAACAGTTTTCGTGACCACCGACTGAATCTACTGTAATGTAACCTCTCTGTAGCAAAAGAGCTCATTAAATGTGGGTTTGCATTTTTTGTTTAGCTGTTCCTTGTGTCTGTGATTTTTCGGGCACTAATTCGCTCAGCTTTAATTAATCCTCCTATTTCTTTACATGAAGAATAACACCTTACCCTCGACAAGCATGATTATTTTGTCGTAAGTTGGACTAACGCGCTTTCTAGAGGCAAGCTTCAATTTGAAATAATTTTTCTGACAAATTAATCTCGGTGCGAATTTTTTTTTGTAGTGCAGATACTTAATTTACAAATCACCATGCTCCTCACGTGATCACAGTTATACCTTGCACGTGTCAACTCGAACATTTTGCGGGATATCCCGTTTCACTTAAATCCCACTTACGCGCGACGCCCTCTTCTCTCCGAGATCTCCGCCTTGTTTGGAAGCTACCCCCTTCACAAAGGGTCACGGTCGGTGAATTTAATTCCAGTTGAGAACTCTAAGACGCGCACAAAAGATGACAGACTTGTGTGAGAGAGCACGCTTCTGAAAAGTCGTTGCAGTTTCATGTTCGATTTGTTTGGAGGCGACCTGGGAAATACTGGGTCGAGTACAGTAGGTGGAAGCCCTACGCGAAAAATGAATGAAAAAAGCGAACAAATTCATCCGCTTCGTGGTTTAAATTGTTCTGGTCGGCTTTTGTTCTCTTTTAACCCTTTAACTCCCAGTTGTGATTAAGATGAAACTTCTCCCAATAATATCCATACATTATTCAGCAAACAGGTAATGAGAATATTCAAACCTATTAGGTAGAAGCTGCTACCTTGATCTAGCACTAAGTTCTCATAACTAATTTACAAGGAAATGTGTAGCAGCTACAGGGGAGAATTAACAATCGGATCTTGGGAGTTAAAGAGTTAATAAGCTGCCGCAAAATTTTATTTTCATCCGTGCAATGCAACTTTCTAAGAACTTCGGGTTCAAAAGAAGGACAATTGAATCGTTTTGCCAAATTCTCCGTGGAAGCAAACCTCGATTTCGTGTACTCGACCCACTTTTCTTGGACAGCACCTAAGCACATCGATTTTGAACCTTTGAGTGACTTCTCTGCTCGTTTAACTAACCAACACCCTTGCATAGGCAAATCAGTCCTTCTTCGTCCGTTGCAGTGACGCGCATGCGTTCGGCCGATCGCCTCCCACAAACCTCCAGGCAAGCCTCTACCAACGTGAGCGTTTTTAACTTCTTAATTCCCAGAAGAGATTAACTTGTAACTTCTCCCTGCAAAGCCAATATATTATCCAGCAAACGGGTAACGAGATAACTCAAACTTGTTCGGTAGAAGTTTGATCCAACACCCAATTCTCATAACTAATTTACAAAGAAATGTGTAGCAGCTAGAGGGGAGAATAAACAATCAGATCTTGGGGGTTAATTAGTTAAACCCGGAATCAAAAGGGGTCAACCCTTTTATACACAGGAACTGTACTTGCATAGTCCCCTTACGGGGTTAATCCACTGTCAAATAAACAGGTTATAATGAGAATTTAGGGAATCATCAGAAACGAGATGTTGTTTGTAAAATACAATAAATTTCTTAGGACCGGCTATGAAACAAATCCCTTTTCATCTATTTGATGAAATTAGCTTACAGATCTTGGTTTGGTCTGCTCTGTTTGTCGCATACATCGTGAATGATCGTTTTTGAAAATTTTTTGTAATATCAAACAATCAATCCTGGTTAATAAGTTTCTCTCTTTGCATGACTTTTTTGCTCTTGGTCGCTCTGTAATTGTAAAGTTTGTGGTACTGAGAAATTAAATTTTCTCAGAATGAGAAAAAGATCCTGGCCACAGGACTCCTGAGGCGGGACGCTGGAGCTAGTGTACACTTATGGATTTTTTAAAGAAACTTTGAATTTTGATCGACTCATGAACCCATCTTACCATTGTAGGTCTAAAGCTGAAGTTGATGCGGGACTCACAAAACCAGAGATTCCCTTGGCTCACTCAACTCCAATACCAAAACTTGTTATCAATGGGGTTAATCCTGAAGAACAAGCGGAAGCAGGTGAAGAACACGACAAAGATTCTGACGCCGGAAGTGTCTATGACGGAAGTATTTATGGCAACGAGAGTCAACGTACGGATTCCAATGACGACTTGACCAATAAGGGTCAACTGGATTTGCACTTAAAGTAAGTGGCTAGTCTAGAAGTAGGTGTAAATAGTTAGAAGAATTTTCAATTGAGAGTCGAGAGTACGGGTCGCACTTCACTTCGGATAGTCCGCGTTCTGCAAGGATCATTGTTGTTCCCAGGGAAAACATGACTCGCGAAATAAAATATTGAAAATATTTACCAAAGAAAAACCGCATTCGCAATTCGGAGATTTCATATTCAAACTCACTCGAAATATCCATCTGCGGCGAATATCCCCGCCTGCCACTCGACAAACTAGAAAGTGTGAAAGTATCACGTCTTTTTTTGTATTTGTCCTTCTGCATGAACAGAAAATCGCCGAAACAATTCCCAGCAGGAATTTCATTCCTTTCGAACCGCAAAAATCCGTTTCCGCAACACTGAAATTAATATCGTACATTCTTAAAACAAAACATACTGTTAGTGCAAAAGTTCTTATGCAACATAATGTATGACTCAAGTTTCGAGTGTTTTATTTAAACGTGTTCTGGTTCCAAACAAAAATTTTAAAGTTTGCTTTCAAAAACCGAATACTCATACGAGACTGAAATTTGTGTTTTACTCGACAAGTATAGAGTGCAAGAGATATTTCCTTAGTGACATTAGCGAGTGATTTTACTGAGCTGGATGTGAGAATCAAAATCAACACGCTTATTGACTTCCTAGATACAGTCATTTGAAGAACTGCCTCTCCGTCACCGTCAAAAGTGTTCGAGAGCTCGTGTCTCGTGACTCGCCCGGCAAGACCAATCCATTGGTGCGCCTGTACTTGTTACCAGATCGCTCCAAACGCTCCCGGCGCGTCACAAGAGTGATGAAAGGGACCTTGAACTGCGTGTTTAACGAAACCTTTGAGTACATGATTGGCCTAGATCAACTGGGCACGATGAAGATCGATGTCGCAGTGAAAAGTGACCGTGGATTTGCGATTGGACGGGTGCGGCATCGACTGATTGGACTCGCTGTGGTGGATTTGTCTGGAAAGCATCTCACTGAAGGGTGTGACGTCAGTTGTGAGCTTAGAAAGTTTAGCTTAACATTTTGAATGGTTTTGGAGAAAATGGATCAATGTCAGTGTCCGAGCAACGGCATACCTACCGCTCCCCAAGCGAACATTAACCCTTATTATCAGTTGAGTGTTGTTGTGTTAGGGGAAATGTAGGTAAGCAGTTTCGCAGATACTTAGTTTGCTCCGAGAAAAATAGCTTTGTAGAATTGCTTCAAGCGGCGTTGTGTTGCTTTCAAGAAGAAAATAGGAGTATGAAAAGGCAACACACGCTATGGTGAAATGAATTGTGTAGGTAGTTTGGCAGCGAGAATAACCTACATCCAAAACGTAGTGCACTAGCAGTACAAGTTTTAGAAACTAAAAGCTTTCGTTAGCAAGATATCTTTTATGTGGAAAAATCTATGTATTTATTTCAAGGAAAGTGTGATAGGAAAGTGTATCTTCTAAGTAGTTTTAGTCATACATTAGTGTTGTTAAGTTAACTATAAAAGTTTTTAAACTTGAAGAGATAAAACGTACTCGAATCTAATTTTTAGAGCGCTTTTAATATATGTAAAACAGAGAAATAAACCGGTGCATGTGTGGTATGTCTTTTTGTACACATGTACTGCTGTTCACATAAGGGAACGAGGCTTCACTCCATGTAAACGCTCGGAAAATTTATGCCTTTGCGTGACATATTAAGTGCCATGTCACAAAGGCCTACTCCAAAATAGACTTCAAGGATTCCCTAATCTACTCCTTTCCGTGAAACAATAAAAGTCGGCGAAAAAATATCCTAGCTCAGCGTGGACTCTGGGAAAAGTTGACGGTTGCTGGGATCTCTGGGAAATGTTCACGTAGAGATATCTGGGAAATGTTTACGTTCACGCGCGTCACGGGGTGCCAGACTATTATTTTAACCCGGTGCAGCAAGGATTCTTGTCTTTTCAACTCGGAAATATTAAATTTAAGTGTTTCCAAACGAATTTAAAGCCACAAACTTCCGATCGAAAAATCTAATGCTCTCCTGTGGCAATCTTGAGCAGAATAATGTGGATTTTAGCGGAACGACTTCACATGTTTAATGAAAATGCAATGAAAAACTCGCCATTTTCCTTTATTAAAATGAGGGAACGGAGGTTGGGTAAAGAAATAAAAGCTTAAAAGTTCATTCGATAGTACGAATGCTATCTGTAGTATAGGTTCGTGTTTGTAATATCGCAATGAAATTCATTTCCGGGAGTAGCCAATATCGGAGTAAGGCCAACATGACCGGAAGCGAGAACTATACAGCCTTCTTCAAGAAAAGAGAAAATGCACCATTCTGCTCCAATTCAAATTAAAATTGAGAGTGCCAAATGGAATTTCATTTACTGTCTAGTGAGCGTTGCTTAGAGCGAGTCGATTACGCGATTTGCGGGTGTTAAAGGAAATGAAAATTTGAGTGTGCCCTGGGTTCTACTATAAGTTTCCATTGAGCCCGCGACAAATCAAAGAGTTGCGCGGAGCTCCGCGGAGCGTAAAAACATTTCATAGCACTAACTACGGCAAGAAATTTTATTAGGCTCAAACTATATATCTGTGCTGTTTGTGACGCCTACCCACTTATAACTGTTCTATCTCAACGTCAATTTCAACGTATCTGCCTTCAGGGACTTGTTTCTTCGAGCGATATCCCATTTTAACACGCGTATCTTGAGGCACACAACATCAGCCGTAGTTTTGACATTGTAATACCGGCAAGCTTCTCTCGGCCATTCGAGAGTTGAATGGCTTTTGATCAGAGCATTTCCTGGTTTCAGCAAAAGGTAAGATTCTTCTTGATACATGAACAGAAAAAGAAAATTCTGAAGGGAATTATTAAGTTTCCTTTGTGTTATTTACACTGCGCGCAAATCTTAAATTTTTCGGTTACTGTATGCGAAATAGATTCAATTTTGAAATATTTTCAATCTTGGGTGAAGTACTCTCCATTCTATGCTTGAGTGTAAGCTTATTTATGTTGGATTCTGAAACGAAATATTCTTTTTTTCTTTTCTAAACAGCTGAATTCGGTCCAAGCAATAAGTGTGTTAATTTCAACTTTATCTGATTTGCATAAAGCACTTGAGAAACTCTAAAGGCGCGACGAAAAGCGCCGATCGTTTCTCCGTGATGTGTACTTGGCCAATTTCACTGCTCCCTATCGGATATTTTCCCTAAATTAAATTCCATTCCTTTTGGATTCAAAAACGTCATCGAGGTTAAGGAATCGAGGTTTACCTTTAAATCAATATTCAGGCTCAAATCAATTGGTTAATATTGAGCTAAGCTTCTGCAGTTTTAAACCTAAAATTATTTGAATCGCCTCCTGCTTTGCCCCCTTTGAGTTTGGTTTTATTTGCGACGGTAAATGTCGGTCAATACGGTACGTAGTCAATTTTTCAGCTGTGTTTATTATCTAAGAATATTAGACTGCGAGCATCTCCACATCCTGATTGGTTAAATTGTTTTGTCTATGTTTCAATCATTGATTTTCTTGGGGAAGACGTTCATGCTAATTTCTTGGTAATTACTTTGTTCGTTGGGCGAAAAACTTTTTAAGTTAGCCATATTTTGGTAAGATTTCATTGGGAAAAATTTTTAAAAAATCTGAATTTCGAAATGGTTTTTTTTTATGAATATTATTTTGCTAAACCGGCATCTGGATGTTTGATTACACAGAGATTAGCAGCAATTGTTTACCAATACAGCAAGTGTGAAGGTATTGGTTAAATAAGATTAAGTCTGATGAAAGCTGTGGTTTTCTAAGTAACTGCATAATTAAAGTTGGTCACTGGAGACAGAATGACACCAACCATGCTGTTTAAGACATCTGTGACTGTTACAAATTTTTTATTTGTTTACTCATTTGTTTCCCGAGTTTGTCTCTCTGATTCAATGGCTGCTATTAATGTGTAGCAGATTTTTTTCCATTTCTAAAAAAATTGGAAATTTGGTCACCAAATTTGAATTAATTTCTATATAAAAAAATTTTTCTATTCCATAAATTTGCCCACAATAAAATGTAAACACCATTTTTTCAAAACCTCAAAGCAGAATATTAAATCATGTTCTTAGTTAATTACAATTTGAGTTCAACCAATTTCTGTAAGCCTGGTGAATTTAGTATTATGACAAAACGCAACATGGTGGAAAGGATAATTTTGCTACATGTTATATCAGCACTGTAATTTATCCATATAACACTCAGAATCAGAATTATTCAGTTGCCTCTTTTTTAGATTTTATATTTTGAAATTAAAACCCACCCATTAATTGTCGCACAATTCTATCAGTTTCTTTACATCACATGGTGCATTTATCCTCCCTGACAGTTATGATGCAAAATTTCACTTTTGCCCTTGTAGCTTTGCTTCTCAGCCAAATATTTAGCTTTTGAACATCACACAATATCCCAGGGCTTGACATTATCGGCTGACATACTGTGGCCTGAAGGTTTTAATTAACTATTCACAATGAAATTAAAAGAAGTAAATTAGATTAGAGTGCACAATTTACTTGAGATGTCAGTAACCTTAAAAGCTGATGAAATATAATGTAGGTAAACACTCTTTGGGTAATGTAAGTCTTTAATGCAACAGTCAAGAATAATTGTTTGAAGTTTTTTTATTAGTGATCAGTTCATAAAATGATTTTATTTACACAGATACAGTTACATGTTCATGGGTTTTGACTCACACTAGCTTGCATTTGAAATTTTATTTCCTCCTTATCCATCAATATTTCTGTTAATGATTCAAATTAGGATTGTCTTAGATGAAAACAAATCTTTTGTAGCCTCTGATTTTACTGTACAAGGCTTTTAAAGCCTTCCTTTCCCATTTTTGTTTTTCTTTTTTACTTGCTTGTTTTGAAGTATGGTTTTCTATGTATTTTTAGCTCGGAAAGTATGATAAAGCTTCATGGGAAAGAACATTTGAAGTACAAGAGCAGGAGACGGTAAATAAACCTGTTAACCTTTTCACTCCTAATGTTTCAATGAAAACTCACCTTATTGTCTGTCATACAACTCTTATGATAATAGTTTGGAGAATTTGGTATTGGTTCAACTAACAATCTCCTAGTTCATATTTTTCACTATTTTCATCACCTGTTTGCTTGACATTGTACTAATATTGTAAGGTGAAATACTGTGTTGGTCATTCCTGGGCCTAGTTCAAAGGCTGTAGCAATAGTCCAGGGTTAAATGTTAATCTGCATTTTTTTAAGTTCTTTTTTCAAAAACATTTTTTGGATAATTTTGTCTATTTGTCTTAGAGCATCCAATCATCATATTGTAGACAAAAAGAACTGTAGTTCTTTTACAGCTTTTAGAACTGAAATCAGATTTCACTCTAACCCTGGGTTATCTTTACCCAGCTTTGAACAAACAGGTGCTGGTAGTGGAAGGGTTGCTAACTTAATCAATCAATAATTAACTCAGCAGTGATGGCTTCTTGTCTCACTCACTGAAGTAAGCTGACTAACCTTAATTCAGGGTTATCTAACAAGGCTATTTGGGGCAAAAATATTATTTACCATAAAATTTAATGTTTTTGCTCAGCTACTCTGCTTGACTTTTCCTGTCATTCATGGTTTTTCTTACCAACAGGGTACCTTTATTCATGTTCCTAAGAAGCCTGGTGGTTTAAAACCTGAACTGATAGATGTTGATTTAGTTATTGGTATGTATATGTATATCAAGAGTGTTAAGTGTAGAATTTATCATGAGTGTTATAAATTTTGTCTTTTTACTATTGGGTTTGCTATTTCTGTTTTGCCATCACTTGTGTCTGAGCTTAATTGGTTCTGATTAATAGAATCTGTTGCTAGTGAGTGTACAAATGTTAAGATGACTGCTTGAACAGACTTGAATGAATACTTCATAACTTCAGTAACTAACAAATCACTATGGACAATCTTTTGAGACTATGATGTATTATGATTCACAAATTAGGAAAAGGGATGAAAAACTAAAGGGCCAAAAGAGAGGTGAAAAAATAATCAAATACAGAAATGCAATGATGAATATTTCCACTAATAATGGAAAAAAAGAAGTAAACAAAAAAATTACAAATTCCTAGTCCTTCTACTCACATTAAATTTATAATATGACTCTGTACAGCCACGTACATGCATGGAGGGCTATGCATTGACTCATTTACTATATTGAGTGGACAAAGATGTCATAAACTATTAGCATGTCGCTGAACTTTTATTCTTCACCATTGCAATAATTGCTTAGGTTCAACATTTCCCAAGACAAAGCCAGTTCATAGTTGGTTTGCTGTCACACAGAAAGGAGTGTGTAGAGTTCTTCTGTTTCCATTTTTCCGATCATGGTAAGGAAACCTTGATAGCTGCTGAAATTGAAATTTTGTGCCTTCTGCCATGTAGGACTCTGTGAAATTTCACAGTTGCCACTGCTATCTTCATGATTGCTGTAGGACTCTTGTGATCAAAAGAGCTATAATTGTTTCATGTTTAACTTAATATAGTACAGTGGAAACTGCATAAGGTCATGTGAGCCTATACAGGGGTTCCAAACCAAACTGGCTACCATCAGAGTTCTGCCAGCCACTTGATAACATGTTGTTGGTTACTCTGGTCAAAATAATTCCCTTTTTGCAGCTTAATGAACATTTCACAGTTACATAATTTTGCAGAGTCCATTACACCACTATGAAACATTTTGAAAGCCTTGCTATAAGGCAGTTAGTGATAAATTCAAACATCAATATTGCTTGTATTTGTTACCAGTATTTGTTACATTTGGTGCTTGTTGCCCATTTGTACTGATTGAAGGAACTTCTTGTAAGTTAGAAGAAATGTTGTCAGTTTAACCCTTTAACTCCCATGAGTGACCAAGACAGAATTTCTCCTTAGAATATCAATACAATATCAAACAGATAAGTGATGAGAATAAGAGAAAAATATCAATTTGGGGATAATTAGTTGATCCAATACTAAATTCTCTGAACTAACATCATATGAATTGCATGGTTGACAGTAAGGAGAATTTCAAATTTGATCTGGGAGTCAAAAGGTTAACTCCTTACACCCTAACATCAGTATGCATATTCTCCATACTGTTCTCTGTACATTTCTTAGGAGCAGATAAGGAGAATCTAGTACCTAATAGTCAAGAGCTTCTTCAGTTGGTCTGATCATTTCCTTTATTCTCATGACTTTAATGTTTAATTCAGGAGTGACAATGTAAGGAGAAATTAGATGCTAGTCACTCTTTGGGATCAAAGGGTTTGTGGTAACTTGTTCTAGTAGTAGAGACTTCCTTTAACCCTTTAAACTCCCATGAGTGACCAAGACAGAATTTCTCCTTACAATATCAATACAATATCAACCAGATGAGTGATGAGAATAAAGAAAAATATCAATTTAGGAATAATTAGTTGATCCAATACTAAATTCTCTGAACAAACGTTATAAGAATTTTATGGTTGACGGTAAGGATAATTTCAAATTTGATCTGGGAGTTAAAGGGTTAACAGGTCACAAAGAATTATGCAGAAAAGCAGAAAAGCCATCCTTTGTTGGTGACAGCTGAGGAACTGAAAACTGCTTTGGAGGACAAGGAAATGGAGGCACATGTGCACAGCACTGGCACAAACTAGAGCTCCAACTTATTTAACCTTAAGAGACTGACTAGCATCTAATTTCTCCCTATAATATTGCCCTTGAATCAGATATTAAGGTCTCAACAGTAAGGACAAGAAGCTCTTGATTGTTAAATAAATTCTCCTTGGCAGCCCCTTAAGAAATTTGAGAAGAACATAATGGAGAACAAGCATACTAATGTTAGGATGTACAGGGTTCATAACTGAACTGATTTTGTTTTTGTTTTTATAGGTGGACGCAACAGTTATCCCCTAAGCTATGGTTCCTGTTTCTATTTCTTTATTTTTGTGAAGTTTTGGTGCTATTTGTTTACTTAAGAAAATGGGAATCACACTGGAAGGTATGTGGATCAAGCACAGAGCTCAGATATACTATTCAGATAAATTATACTTCACAATTTTGCCTTTAGAAATTGTGAGCCAGAGGCAAGTGATTTCCAAACTCCCAATGTCCTGCATGGGTTATTATGCTGGTAAAATGATGGAAAATGCAGTCTATTGCTTTAATAAAGCTTATTTGCTTTTGACTACCTCATGACCAAGTCATTTTTCCCTTTAGGTTGTCACTTGGTCAGAAGCATGTGGACCAGCTCTGGTAGGAAGCTTTGCCTAATTCAATAACACCTAACTTAGCCTGAATTATGTTTTAAATTGTTAGGTCTTATTGCATTTGGTACATATGGTTAGAGCAAATTTAACTATCCCATCAGTGATGGGATTTTTAAACATAAAGGAAAATTCTGTCAAATTCATTGCATTTTTGTCACTGTCATATTCTTGTATATTTGATTAGGGGTGTAAGTTTATTCTTGGATCATAATTTATCAAAGCAGTTCAAATTCTATTTTCCTTTTTTCTAGATCATTACAATGAATTCAAGAAAAACTAGAACTAAATTAGACAGGCTTGAGAAATTTTCTCAATCCCCTAAAAAGTGAACCATAGTATACACATTAACCCTGTCATAGCCAGGCATTCAGTTTATAAAACAGAGCCAAATACTAAACAGCACAATAGTAGTGGCTGAACAAAATATTAAATGAACCAAACCTCCCTCATTTTCTTCAATCCTCTACCACCATTGGATGGTTTACCATCACACTTCATTTTACTTACTGAATGACGGGAATAGGCTAACCAGAAACCTTGACAGGGTTGTGTAAACTTCCAGAAAAAAAAAAGGGTATGTTTAAATGAAAAAAATATCTTTTTGGTAGATCATGGTTCTGCTGGGTGTTCTCTACATGTACATGGTGTCCACTGACTATTCAAGCTCATCTCAAAGAAGAAAGGCTAAAAGTCTCAATAGGAGGTATGGAAAGAATTTAGTTTTTAAGAATAATTGTAAGTTGTAGAATTTCTCTTATAGGACACTTCTGTGCAAGAGACACATACATGTAAATACAAAACCAAGTTATTGGTAGTTACATGTTTATTTCAATGGTCTTGAAAAGTGCTCAAATGCGTTTAAAGTGTTAGTTTAAAAATTTTGTTTTCAAAGAATTAATTATCCTTATGTAATCTAGGAACAATATTTTTTTTGTCAATATTAGCATAGTCAACTAGTGATTTGCGTTATCAGCTGGAGTCCTTGTTTTAATTGCATAAGATTTTGACATTTTTTCTATCCGAGATTCTTACTTGTCCTCACATGAAGATACTAATGTTCAGTCATTTGCACATATTTGTTTACGATATTCAAAGTAAAGAAGTCAATCCTTTCATTCTTAGCAATTTGCACTTCCCTACTTCCTCTGTCTTTTTGATGTTTTCTAAAAGTAGTTATTTATATTTAGACGAAGAGCTGCCAGACAGAAGAGAAAGAGCAGCACACAAGAAAATGGAATGGCACATGATAGCATTGTTACAAATGGAATACGACAGAGGAAGTCCACAAACTTGTCACCTGGTATATAGCAGTATACATTATTTTGTGAAATCTTTTTGCTTTTGTTCTTAATTTGTGCTCTTCTCGGTTAAAAGTCACACTGTTTCATAAAAAGTTGGGGAAAATGGACAGAATTTTTCAACTTTCATTAACTAAGCTTAATTGCTGATTAAAATGTCTCTCAGCTGGTCAGATTCCTTGTAAACGTTTCTCCTAGTCAAAATTTATCACAGGAGTTTTAGATCACTCAGATTGCTGCTGTATAGTACACATTGCATTTACAGCTTCTTTCATACACTTGGATTGCTACTGGCAAGGCAAAAAGAGTCTGCAAATGGTGACAATTTTTTTTTTCAACAAGGAGACATGTTGTTACCAGACAGACTAATTTTGAATATTTCATTTGTTCCCAGACTTTAACGTCAAGGATAACATAGAAACTGTGGAGAATTCAAATCATTACAACTCAAAAGACAATGACAATGATAAAACAGAAGAAGAACTGAGTGAAAGTGGAGAGACGACCTCGTCAACCACAGAAAGTGATGTGTCTGATGTTGAAATGGACAGTAATAGTGAGGATCCCTTTGCTTGGGATAAACAGGTTTGTAGAAATTTTACTGATTCAATTTTTGTTGGAATTACTTTTCAGCAAGAAAGTTCTTTCTTGCAAGTCCCTTCAGCTTGAGTCTAAAAATGCAAACTGTGTTTCAGAAATACTTGACTTTCATTAAACAAGATATTCCTTCGTTGAAATGTCTAATCAGCTAGATTCAAGGGTTATAGCCCCTTTTAAAAATTTAGTTTAACATAGTGATTAAAGATCTGTGTTCAGTTCATGGACACTGTGGGCCCAGTTCCTAAAATTGGACTATTCTTGCAAAGCTGCAATGTATTTTAACACTCTATAATAGCTATTCATCAAAGTGGAGATGGCTAGTGGAGGAAATATACCAAGCTGCAAAACATCAAGGTATTATTCACCACTAGCCACCAATACTGAGGTGATTAGTTTTTTTCAATATATACTAAAAGAGTGAGATAATATAACATGAAAAGATGATTGTAACCCATTTATTCCTGCAATGATTACAACAGTGTTGTTGTTGCTTGGAGGTGAATTACAAAGGATACTTGAAGTTTGAGTAGCCAATCAGAGGGTGACTTTGACACTACCAATGGTTTTAGTATAATTATGCTAATAAATGATATACTAAATGTATATTATATACATCAAAGGGTAATGGATCTCCAGGAATGCAAACCAGCCCAACACCCCCACCCACTGCAGAGAAGGGTAAGTACACATACATCTTTTCTTATACTGTAGCCAGTAGAGCAATTTTTTTGAAAGGAAAAGGAATTAAGAGATGAAAGAATCCAACAGAAGCGATAAGAACTCAATGTTAAAATAACCTTACTTCCTGAAAGACAGACATATTGAATATTTGGCATCTTCATCAACATTTCCTTTCCTGTTACTACAGTGCTGCTCAAAACTAAGTCTTGACAGTCTTGACTTGAAACTCGATCCTCAATACTCAAAACTATCAAGAATCAAGGATAATAATCCATATCACACAGAAATATGCCTACAAAGTCTTTGTAGTCTTGTTCTTGTGACTTAGTGGCTGTTTTCATGATAACCTCATATTTTTACTACCACATGGCATATCTTTACTGTACGTACATGTACTTGTACATGTGGTAAACAATTTAATATGTATACTAACCATTAACACATTATGAGTGACTGTAATCTAATTTCTCCTTACAAAATCACACCTGAATCACACATATTAAGGTCACAAGAATTAAGAACTGATCACTAACTAAAGATGCTCCTGATTGTTAAACAAATTCTCCTTGTCAGCAGCTTAGGAAATGTATAGAACAGTATGGAGAATGTACATGCTGATGTAAGGGTTTGGAGTGTTAATCTTGTCATTTTTTTGCTAGTTATGGTTTCTATTTGGGAAGGAAATCAATGCAAAAAAGCCCAGTTGACACTCATGGAGATTAGTGCTGCTATTGCCAACAAAGTGGTAAGTCACGTTTTTTTCTTTTTTTACATTTTAGTTGTTTCATTACGTATCATGTGTAGACAGCTGTTATACTTCTTGATTTGCCACGAAATCCTAGCCATTGATTGTCCCTCTTCCCCGTTTATTTAGAACTGATCTGTCGTGATTAACCCTTCAACTCCCAGAAGTGATTAATAAGTAACTTCCCCTTACAGTGTCCATGAACTCTCCAGCAAACAGGTAACGAGAATACTCAAATGCATCAGGTGAAAGTTGTTATCTTGATCTAACACCAAATTCTTGTAACTAATTTACAAGGAAATGTATAGCAGCTGGAGGGAAGAATTAAAAATCAGATCCTGGGAGTTAAAGGGTTAAATGAGGAAATATTTGGGTCAATCTCTTCCAAACATCTTTATATATGGCTGGCTATTTCAGTGTACAATTTGTCTTTTCCAATTACTGTTGGCTGTACATTTATGTTGTTATGGGGAGGTTTGGAGCGTAACATTCTGTATGTTGCTCTACCAGAATCCGGCATCCTGGTCATTAAAAGATTTTATTGAAAATTTAAATTGTACTTTTATTTTTTTCTCCTTTGTAGGACTCTCATAAAAGCCACACGGGTTATGTGCAGTTTTCTGTTGTTGTCTCTATGACCCTTGCATTTATTCCTCTTCTTTTCCGTCTCTACAACACAACAGTGAGTCTGCTGTCATGAATTGTTACAGTACAGTTATAGTTCAGTGTTACTTTGTCCACTTGGTGTACGGTACCTTCACAGACAAGTCACTGGGAATCATTTAGACAGATTAACAGTTGTTCAGTCAATTTGTCAGACCCTCAGCTAGTTTGTCCTCAATAGGACAAATTAAATTGACGAGACACGATGACGTATAATGAGTCGCAAATTAGGAAATACGGGTGACCCAAAAAAATAATCAACAGCCAAGAGACAAGAAAAAACTAATCGAAGACAAAAAACGCAACGATAAATATTTACACCAATAATGGAGACAAAAAGCAAACGAAAATATTTTAACTCATGTGCATGCTATAGTCACAAATTCACAGTCCTAATATACTCGCGTTTTAAATATGACCCATACAGCCCCATTCGTGTTTTTACTGTAAAACATTCGACAAAGATCCTTGTGCGAGAGTGGTATTAAGCCAAGAGAAGTGGGGAAGAAAAAGGAAAGAGCTTTGGTCATATGATAACTTGCTGATTACCATGTAAATAAACACTTAATTAGCCAGACAGTCACTTAACTAGATCTCTTTTTCGCGAGACAGACAGTCAACCAGTCAGTCAGTGTCAGTAAGTCTGTCAATCAGTCAGTTAGACAAACAGCCTATCTCAGTCGTTTGGGAGGACAATCAGCCAGTTATATATGTCAGTGAACCGTTTCCTTTTTTCATTTTTGCATCCATCAGAATTTCTATTGATTTTATTTATTTATTTGTCTATTTATTTATTTTTTAGTCAGATAAACTGTTAAATCATACCGCTGTTAATTACCAACTAATTTTCTTTTTCCTTGTCTGAAGGGAACTATTGGAGACCTTTTGATTAGCAACAGTGAAGATCTCTTGTGTAAAATGTTTGGATATTCATCATGGTATGTAAAGTTCTTTTACGTATTTTCCACTTTTTATGCTACAAAACTTTGAAATTCTCTCAGAACTAACGTTTCTTAATATTTTTATTCCTTCTGTCTCGAAGGTCACGTGTCATTGTTGTTATTAGCATGCTGGAGAGGTTCTTCTTGAGTTTCTCCTTCTTCTTTTTGCTGTGCGTCGCAGAAAAATCCTACAGAGAGGTGAGCGAAACGAGTGTAGGGTGAAAGATTTCCAACACTTGAAATTGTACTACATTTCCTTTTTTCACTTAAAACTATTAATCCTTGACACCCTGATGTCAATATGCATATTCTCCATCTCCATTTCCTGAGATGCTGACGGGGAGATTTTGTTTTACTGATCAAAAGCTTCTTTTGTTGGTGATCATTTCCTTCATTCTCATGACCTTAATGTGTGATTCAGGAGTGATATTGTAGGGAGAAATTAGATGCTGGTCACTCTTGGGGTTTAAAGGGTTAAGTTGCTCTGAGGGGGCAGAGCAGAAAAGATGCGCGCCAAGTTTAAGATGGGTCTACAAATGGATTAAAAAAATTTTCTGGGCTCGAACGCCAGCCAATTCATTTCATCACAGTGTTTGGATGGTCTATCAGTAGATCTACAGAGAGCCTGTTACGGAGTCTGGGCATATGTTATACCCTTAGCTTGGGACCAGGCTTTCATTGTTAGCGCTCAAGATTTGGGACAAGTCGGAGAGAGGTTTGCTAAGAGAGTCTGGAACTAATTATAATCGGTGCTAGACTCGTTCCAAACCTCTCACCGGTTCGCGTTTCTTAAGGCTCCATACTTGCGAAGAAAGACTGGTGCCGAAGAACTAATAATAAGGGCGTGCCCGTCGGCTATTATACTCTCAGAGGGCGAACTTGTTGCATGCTTTCAGGATAAGTAATTCGAAAGTGCCTTGTCTGGACATAAATTAGAATGGTAGATTTTTGCACTCGGTCCTGAAATAAGTAAATATTTTGTGCATTTTCCCTGTCTATCTCGTTTGGGTTTTATTCTGACAATGCTGTTCCGTATAATGATTCCAGCGATGTCTGTACGCAAAGTTATTTGGATGGCTAACGTCGTCGCGGAAGTCTCGCCGTGCGGGGCTCCCTCATTTTCGTCTCCACAAAGTACGGAACATAAAGACTTGGCTGTCGCTAAGATCCCTGTTGAAGGTTAGCTAACACTCTGTAACGGTTAAGCTGCGTCAATAATCTACATGAAAAAATTACGCGCTTCTGATTGGCTGAAAACGAGTGCATTCTCGTGTAACAAGAGTGCAAACTTCAAATGGCGCGCACACGCTTCAAAATTTCATCTGTCTTGACTTTCTGTGATGTTTTTTCATGTCCATTATAAACATGTAATAATTTTCTTTGAATTCAGAGACGAGGTCCTCAGAGATCTGTTGACATGATTGTGTCATCATCCTTTATACTGGGCATGGTTCTAGTAATTCTCATGTGTGTACAGGTGAGTCAGAGCCACGTCCTCCCTGTCTTGAAATATTAAAACTTTAAAGTTAGATACATGTACACCTTGTGTTCATTGGAATTTGTTCCTGTGCCTGCCAAAACGTTATTAAAATTATTTTCTCTTGGCAGCTTATAAAGGGAAATGAAAAAGAGAGGTTTCTGTCGATATTATTTAACTGGGAGGTGTCAATATGGTAAGTGATCAGAGGTAGTTGTAAATTAATAAATATGTGAGGCATTCAGACCAGCAAACAATCAGTCAATCCAGTCGGTGGTTCATGAGAGAGTTGATTAATAAATGTGTTACTGGGTCATCATTCGAGCGATCAGTCAGCCAATTTCTTCTATCGATCGCTTGGTCCATCCCCTCATTCATCTGCCATTTGATGGAAATCCTAGTCAATAAACAGCATGTGTATCATTGGAGCTAATCAAACAATATTTATCGGTTTGTACCTTTTTTTGTATCTATTGAATTAATCAACTAATCAGAAGTTAATCTGCTAAACTTCACAGCTAGTCATCCCATCAATCATTCGTAAATCCTATCAGTTATGTATTTGTTTATCAGTCGATTAGACAGTCATTCCGTCTGTCCGTGTGTCTGTCTGTTAGTCAGTCTAAACAGTCTGTCCTAAAAAGCCACAAATGACCGAGGTATCTCTATAATTATCTTATCACGCGCTTTTGATTGGCTGAAAACGAGTGTATTCTGATGTAACACGAGTGCAAAGTTGTAACATGGGTGCAAATTACAAAAAGCGTACAGGCTTTCAAAATGTCGTCTGTCTTGACTCTCTGTGATGTTTTTCATGTACATTATTAACAAGTAATAACGTGATTTCTCTTGCAATTTGGCGTAATAAGCACTTGTAAATTTTTCAACGAATCCAAATTGCACGAGCCTATACGACAAGTTCAATTTGTAGTCTCTTTTGGAAATATTATCCTCAACTTTATCATTTGCTTTTCTAGGAAACTGTAATGACTGTAGTCAATTGGTAACAGGACTTCTTGTCGTCCAGTTCGATAAGAAATCGTACTCGTGATAAACTCGTGATCACGATCATCGAATCGGGTCCCCGTTTCGCGGGGCCTTTCCTTTGTCGTTTAACAACTTACATTTAATGTGTTTAACCAAGTGAAGACTTCGTTACTTAAACAAATTGCTACTGATCGTACCTGGTTGTTTACTTGTTTTGCTTTAAGGTGCCTTGTTTTATCTGTCTATGTTCTGCGGTTCATGACGTTAGGATCCAAGATCAACAGTAAATTTACGAACACCTCGGGACTACTAACGGAGCAGGTGAGTAAATTATTTAAAAGTATTCGTATAAAGAATAATAAGGATGGTAAATTTTGAGCTCATTAAGTGATTGGAGACGGCTTTTTTTACGGTGTCGCAGAGACTCTTTATGGTTAGCGAGGCTATTACTTTTGTAACACTTGTCCTGCATACTGCTTGGATCAAAAAAGATAAGAAGTGGGGTAATAAAGTCGAAGATTTGTTATTCCTGCGGTTTAAGATGAACGAAGATATTTTGCCATAGTATTTCCCAAAGGTATTCCAGAATTTTTGCAGTTTTGTTAGTTTCGTAAATCACTCATTTAATTGAATAGCTAGTGAACATATGTCGGTATATTGTCGGAAATTAAGAAACTCTTTGCACCGCTGGTGAATTTGGCGGATTTTAAACATTACTGGAGTGAGAAATTTTTAGTTACTACTCGTTTTTCCCTTTTTTTGTGTGTCTATACTCTTTAGATTAATCTTTACCTTCAAATGGAAAAAGCTCCTCATAAAAAAGACGATCTGACAATAGCTAACCATGTGCTTAAGTTGGCCTCGAAACTACTAAAGGTAATACTGTATTTTGTGTCTATTAGACCGAGAGACAGAAGGAGCTTGTTTGGAAGCTGTTTGAAGCGTAGAACTTAATGAGAAAGAGGCGCGAGTTTTATGAATAAAACACGAAGCGAAGTGAAGCAAAACAAATACAATCCCAGATTACCATCGACACTCATTTGAAAATTGCTTCATTGCTCGATGCAAAGATCCAACGAGTAGGCGTTTGAGGCAGTTTTTTTTTTGTTAACTTCGATCTTTTAGAGAACTTTTACAGCGAGGTATGTCCAGAAATGCATAAAGTAGTGAAAATGGCGAAAATTCGTCAAAATTGTCAAATCCGCTAAGCTGATTTGCTCTGACGAATTTGACTGAAATTTTTCAAAATCGTCAGTTTGCCAAGCTGATTTCGCTTTGACGAATTTAACTGAAATTCGCAAAAATCCTCAAATCCGTTAACATTCACTCGGTGTGACGAAATTTCGTAAAATCTGCCATTTTCGTTACTGCGTGCATTTCTGGACATAAGTGTTTACTGCAGGAAACACAAAAAGTTATTTTAGTTTCAAAGCTTACGTTTCGAGCGTTAGCCCTTTGTCAGAGCGAATGGAGGAATTGTGAGTTGTGTGTGTGTGTTTATATGCAGAAAATGGTGCCACGCTATAGGTGGGAATATGGTGACCCGAAAGCAAGGGTACTAACATACTAGTTGTTTGGCTTGCTTATCAGGAAATTGAGAGCCCATTCAAGATGTCTGGTTTATCCATGAACCCCTTGCTGTATAACATCACCAGGGTAGTTGTGCTGTCTTTGTTTTCTGGAGTCATGTCAGATCTTCTTGGATTCAGACTAAAGGTTCGTGAAAAAGCACTGCTTCGTCCTAGTTTTTCTTTTCTTTTTTTTCTTTTTTTTTTTTTCAATTGTCTCAAGTTTTTGCTAGTAAATAGTTTGAACTAAAATCTTTTCGACTTTTCCTATCTCCTTAATATGTTTAGTTTTCAAGGGCATCGTGCTTGATTTAATTAGAGCCCTCAGACAATCGTGATCAGAGAGCCTGTACTTGAACTTGACGGAGATTTCAGTGGTGTCAGTTAGAATTTTTTGTCATCGTGACAGAAGGGACAAAAATAAATTAAAGGATCTCTCTAAGACGCTCTTGTGTAATCTAACACAAAATCAATATCCACCACCTTTCAAAACGCATTTTTTTAAGGAAACAAATGAAAAAAATGGTAGTATGGATTCATCAAGTTATTGATGCATGAGAGTGATAAAACCATTTTGAACGACCATGAAGGGCCTAACTTGCGGTTTTTCTTCAAGTTCGTCAATTTGCAATCTTTTCAAACTCCTCCGTCGTAAGCTATTCTTGTTGTTTTGATCTCTTGTTACTCCTTCCTCACTCTACTTCATTGAACATTTATTCCATGTGTTCTGTTTATGAAATATCAATCCTTTATTAGTCGAACAGTAACTCGAAATATTATGACGTTTGAAGTTCATGTGATCGTATGGTGTCGATACCTTGCTGGACGCCTTGCCATCGCGCGCTAATCCCTCACGTGTTCTACAAAGAGCGGTTTCTTGTGAAGGACCCGCGTTACCCTGGAGGGAAATCTTCTTCTAATAATTCCACATTTTCACTTCCTTTTCAGGTTTGGAAAATCAAGACGTAGCATCAACTTTAGAGAAAAAAAGGCAAATTATTTATATTTAACTTAACACACACGTTTTATTTTTCTGTCAAATGAGGTTGTATATATTCTATTAACGCCACGTGAAGTGGTGATCATATATATATAAATATATATAAAGGGCTCGTAGGGCCAAATTTCAAAATAAGAATTGCTAAAAGAGGCGGCCAGAGGAACCGTGGGTGACAATAATGAAAGTTTATCGCGAAGCGATTGATTTAATGCGTTTTGATTAGTCATATTTACGAAAAAAGATAGCCCATCTTTGATTTATGGTTTCCATGGGGTGCGGGTTTACATTTATGCACAAAGTTCCTTTGATTTCGCACTAAAATGCTGTAAGCTTTGTTTTAAGCTGGTGCATTAAGTAATTGGAGAGGCAGTGGCCTGCTTCGAGAGGTCTGGATTCGAGCTCTGAACGGCACTTTGGGTGGTGTTTTGTGCAAGACGCTTTTTACTCGTGCAGCGTTTCCCTCCACCCAGGATTACAAATGATTATCAGTGAGATGTTAAGCTATGCGTGACTTGAAATGGACAGCATCCTTTTCAAGGGAAGAAGCAATATTTTAATATGGCCACTGAAATCAGCCTAAGTATTCTAGCGATCGGCTTCTTACTTAAAATCATATTAGCATCTCATAATTCTTCTCGATATTGTCGCCTACTATTTCACGCTTCGTATAGTCATTCTAGCCCGAAACAACTGTATATTA